GCTGGAAAATGGACGTCATACAGGGGACACAGAATAGAAGAGGCGGAGGAGGAGGAGGAGGAGGAGGAGGAAGAGGTGCAAAATCGGTATATACCGTTGGGATCATGCTGATACATGCTTCTGAGAGGGTGAGAGACAAATGGTAAAGATAACTGAGCATAGAAATGCACGCACACACTCACGCGAAAGAAGGCGGAAGAAGGAAGAGAAGAAGTGATGAGACGAAAAGGTGGAGGCAGAGGGCCGAAGAGTCGATTGCTTACTCATCTAGGTAGCGTTGTGGCAGCGGTGGCGGAGACTGCATTGGCATAAAGGCTTTTCATTGGACTGGCTCCAATAAGGCGATAGAAGAGAGCCTCATCCAATTCCTGACTTTTGGTGGGCGAACGAAGGCTAAGGAAAACGTTTACACCCAGCACCTCGCTCACTTTCTGCACTGGAACGCCAATTGGTCGAATCACGACTCTACCACCCGTGGAGGGTGAAGGAGAGGGGACAATCTGCGACCTTGTGGCATCAGGACTTGTGGCGGTGGTGGTGGGAGAGGTTGCAGCTGGAGCGAGCATAAGAACTAGCTCGTTTAACTCTCGGTTAACGTTCCAGCCCTGAATCATCTCTAACCGCCAGGCTGCGTGAATTTCACCTGGAGCAGCATTAAGATTCCACAAGTTTAAGCATGATGTTGCAGTGACGAATAACTTCCACTCTCACCGTCACTTACCAGTACTGGGATCATGCCTGGCGACGCGCCCGTTTCCAATGCCGACAACCTCATCACGACGACTGAGGGAGATGGTGACCTGACGAGAGTTGGGATGGATGTGAGAGCTGTGGAAGGAGAGACTGCGGTAGGCCTGATCGGGAGTGTCAGCAGGCAATCCAAGTGCTGTTGCGACTGGGACGCTGGTTTCGAATCGCGCCACAAAGTAAATTATCCCGTTGCCTGTGAGCTGTTGCCAGTGCCCAATGTACTGCAACTTCACCTCCAACGCCGACATCTCAGTCAAACGACCACGAATGTCCATTATGTGCCGCACAAGTCTCTCTTTCGCCTGTTATTCAGAACGCATAAGGAGTAAACAAATTTCTCTTGATTTTGTTATTACGGCAAAGGTCATGGTGCATTTGGATTGTTTAGGACTGAAGGATTCTTCAGTTAAATCGCAAAATATGTTCGATTTTCATTCAGCAGACTCAATAGCAATTTACACGCTAAAGCGTTGGTTGTAGACGGAGGAGGTAGGGAGATGTCTAAAAGTATTACTAAATTTAACTTTAAACTGTCGAATTTCACCGACACAAAATGTTCCCTTGGTTAGCCCAAATAAAACTATGTCTATTGACTAAAATTAAGTAGTATTTAATCGTTGCAGCAAAAAATCAATATATGCATTTAAAATTATCGGCTTCCATTAGCCATTCAGCAGCCTAACAGAGGTATTGTTGCTGCCAACACTTGGCGAAATTAAAATGACTTAAAACACGCATACCTTCGTTAATTACAGTGGGCTAATTTCGATGTCATTTATTTAAACACAGAAATACGTAATTTCAGAGTTAATTTCTTTAAAATATTTCGCACTATCGGTCAACATGTTTCTAAACCTAGAAGATTATATGCACAGAAGTCACTGTAAAAAGCTCAATTATAGGAAAGGAAACGAAAATATGGGACTATTTGCATTTTTAGTTTTAACGGTCCTAAAGACGATTCCAGCGATGAGGAAGTTGCACGAAGTTGGTGAGAAAACTTTGCTAGCATTAGAAGCACGACTAATTCCTTCAAAAGATCGAAATGCATTTGCTTAAATTTAGCCCTCGATTTCACCTTACA